TTGAAAGATGGAAGTTTCGAAAAGAAATTAAATGAAAATAGATAATTAATTGAGGGTATTTTAAGAAGAAAATTAAGTCTATTCAGGAATGTCAGATAACCTAAGGCATGTATGAGTAACATTCTCCTCTATATTACATCGCGAGAATGTAAATTTCCCGATTTTTTCTCAAACCCGTGAACCAAATATGAGCATCTAAATTTCCTTGCATCACATTACGGCCTTCGTGTGAGATTATCTCAAACCAAACAAGCCCTTAGTCTCTTTTTGGTCTTTTTTCTCTACTCTCAACTCTCAATCACCTCACCCTTTTCATTCCTTGTTGTAATTCTAGATTTGAGGGTGAGCAGATCTATTTCTTCGTAGAAGAGGCCGGGTTGCTTATATCTTCCATGGCCATGTTATCTAGGTGATTTCTTCCTGGAAACCTCGTGGTGAACTGTAGAGTCGAGACCAGTTTTTACAATGTTTGGCCGGTTTTGACCAAGTTTTGATTGGTTTATACGATTTTGACACATTAAGGTTTTTGAAATGCACTGGACCGGAAAGGTGACTGGGTCAGACCGGCCGGTCCGGTTCTGTGTTTAAAACATAGCATTGGGATGAGTAGTATAATTCTAGTGAGGACATTGGTAAGTCTGAGCTTTTATCAGAAATTGTCTCTTCTTTAGAAAAAATTAAGGATTTCTTTCACATCATTATAACTAATGAGGTGGATTCACTTTCTCAATTCTTAATTAAAGAATTTGAAAGATTCACCAACAAAAAAATTAAAGAATTTGAAAGAATTCTTGCTTCCTTTTTGAATATTTGAGACTCTATGGAAGAGAGACCTTGTGAAGAAGAGGTAGCAAAGGATTGTGCAAATCCAGAGGTCAACTCACGTACTATAGCGGTTGATAGTGAATGTTTCTTTGCCAAGCGGGGCTTCTCTTACTCGGGAGATGAATTCTAAGGTCATGCCTCAAAGGGCGAGGAGAGGACCCCTATGTCATTGGTTGAGGATTTATGGGACTCCGACTCGAATCAAGATATTTGCAACAAATTATGTTGGTCACCGGATAATTTAAATACACAAATCATCAACGGTTGCATCTCATGAGTATTAGGTCACAATCGCGAATGGAGTTCTACAACTTTGATTGAGCACTTAAGGTTTCTAGGGAGGGATCTTTTTTTTTGTATCTTGGGTTGGTTAGGTTTAACCTTTCCTTCTTTTGTTTGTTGTTACTTTTGTTCCTTGATTTGCTTTTTCGTCTTTTTGAAAAAAAAGTAAATAAAAGCTAAACTTTTTTGTAGAACCTATTGTAACATAATTATAACAACAGTTTAAGAACCTTAGTAAAGTTGTAGTATCAAAAACCAATGATCTCAAGACAGAAATGTTTTAAGATAAAGGACATTCATCTGAATTACAAACTAGTGAAACTACTAATCAGAACAACTCTCAGTTCTTCATTTACTTCTCTAATGAGTTTGGCCCTCTCTTCTTACCAAAGCCGACAACTGCACTAATGAAACAACGATTGTACCGTGGGCACGACCGCGGGGTTTCTTCTTCTTGTCTTGCTTAATTGGAAACTTTGGGAGTCTGGCCTCTCACCATTCCAGCACGAGCCAAAGAACCGTGAACCTCACCCATTGTTGATTCTTAACTCTCCGGTCAACGATCGAGAAAGTTTTGGAGTTTTGATAAGCTCCTAAGCGGCTAAACAGAGACAAAGACGACGTCCGAATCTAAAATTAAATAAAAGCTAAACTATTAAATACAATATAGAGATAATTAATATGAATTGATCACAATGAAATACTCGATCTAACATTAAAGATAGATTATTTTTTAGTATGTCGTGTTTGAAAACATTTTACATGGTCTTGACTATTGAAATACTCGTTACACAACGATGAGTTACACATTTATTTCTGCTTATAAACTCCCGAAGAGTACGTTGGGTGACTAATGTCCATCAAATCGGCTCAAATCACATTAAAGATATATATGGAAAATTGTCGTAAATAAGACTAAAAACGTGTGTATTCTAAAATAGGACTATTGTATTTTTATTCATTAAATAAGAGTAGTTATTGCCATGTTTTGGCAGTACGTACTGGACTATAAACATGACAATAATTACTCCAATGTAGGTAATAAAAACAAGACCGTCCTATTTTAAAATTTTCAAACCTTTTTTCTCTTATTTTCGGAGATTTTCCCAATCTAAATACCAAGGATTTTTACTTCACGTCAAACTTTATATATTTGGTATATATATGCCTAAACGGCTAAACATAATGAGATTACTTGGTCCGGAGGACCAAATATCACTCTTTTTCCATAATCAAACTTTGCCCAATAGAGATTTCTTAGTCAAACTTTGCCGAAGAACATCAAAATGAGGAAGAAAATTATTCAGAAAATTTGTTCAATTAACAACGTAGCAAACCTTTTGCATGCCAAGGCTCTTCCAAATGTTTCCTTCCACTCGTTGGTAATCAAATTATATTGTCCTCAACAAAAAAAGGATGACACCTCATCCCTGAGGGCCCCCAACCCCGATCGAACGGTACGTTGAGAGGATGTACGCGTCACACTCTTTATCCCTTGACCAATGTTCTATTCCGATCCTCTAAATCGATTTTCTCGTCAAGGTCTTTAACAAGTGTTGAGTATGTTGTTTTGTTGATGACTAACCATGCAGGTGGAACCGCGGACAGAACCGCTCACAGTTCCTTACGGAACAAGGACAGAACTATCCTCAAGACCAAATGGGTATTATTAGTGTGTTGTTGACTAACCATGCATGTGGAACTAATGCAGAACCATTTCTAGTTTCGTGATATGATTTGAATTAATATTAATTGCACCTACTTGATTTTCAATTAATATACTTTCCTTATATGAGTGCTTATATTTGTCAAGAATATTATTTTAAGTAAAAGTATCTTTCTATGCATGTCCACTCTATATATACGTATTTTGGTTATATGAGTACTTATTTGGGTGGTTATTATCTTTCCATAGTTGACAAGACATCCACTCATTAAATATTGTTTAAATACTTTATGGAAAGTATCTTTACTTAATGTGAGTGCATGATCCATATTTTATTGGCTATATACGTAGCATGCTTGTAATCGATCAACAAATATTTTATTGCCTTACAATTTGAAAAGTCATTATTAGTTAAAATATTAAATGAATATTTTTGGAAAGTATCTTGGCTTGCATGATCTGTAGCAACTTATTTGAATATCTTACTTATATGATCGTTGCATATTCAAATTTGTTAAGAGAACTAATCATTGATTGCATAAATATTTTATTGCTACTAACGTTCGTTGCATGCTTATATTAAGAGAATAAATTATTTCCCTTTATATGTGATGATATATATTCATGTGGAATTATCATTGAATATTTAAATACGTAATATACTCAATATCTTTTTTGTTATGTCGTGATTTACTCATAGTATGTACGTATCCACTTGCTTCCATATATATATATGGTTGACCGAGGATCACCATATTGGAGAGCCCGAAGATCTTTGAATAAAAGGAAAGGTTTTTAAATAACATCAAGGAAAGTCCAAATATTCAACCAAGAAAAGGAGAGGCTACGGATGCTATATATATTGGACTGAAGACCAGACGAAAGGGGTGTGCTTGACCGAGCTTCTATTGAGAAATATACACGAGAATATTCACTAAGTCCAAGGCACCTGAACCTGCTCACGGAGTTCCAGACAGAGTTTCTTTTTCCCTTCTTCATATTGTAATTGGGTTTTTGAGGATTGGCTAAGTGTAGCATCCTCGGGTTGGTTAGTGTGTTGTGAGAGCTTTGTTGTAAAGCTGAGAGGCTCTCTACCCGCAAGGTAGAGATGCATAACTCTTCCTAGAGAGGATAGAGTTGGGGTGGCTCAAGGGTAGACTAGGAGAGTTTCCCTTGTAATCATTCAAAGGCTTTTTAGTGGAGTTGTTCAAATTCCTCCGAGGGAGGTCGAGGTTTTTTAATCCCTTTGAGCCAATGGATTTTTCCTCGTTAAATCCTTGTGCACTTTACTATTTCGCAATTCCCTGGTCCCCACACTAGAACCGTGCGAAAAACTGCCACGGTTCCACACACACACAATTCACCCTCCCTCTTGTGTTGCTAACCATTTCATCGAAAAGGGAGAAAGATTAGGGACGGAGGGAGTATGGTATTATATTTTTGTTATAATGACTTTCTTTAGTAATGCACATCCAAATGAGAGCGTCACTAAGTATGAGTATGTTCATTACATTGACACGAGTGCCGGAGGCAGGACGATATATCAGAGTGAGTCACTACATAGTATATTTATGATAATTTTTTTGCACGACTTTTTTACTGTAATAATTTAAACAAAATTATAAATTAGGATGAGTTAGGACCAAAGTTGCTCCCTAGCTACCCTTTGATAGAGACCCACATTTGTTTTTAGGGCCTAACCCATTTTCATGTGTAACCCTCCTTTTCCACCGCCATATATGTACCCATAAGTTAATGACCCCATATGTTAATGAAAAGACTAATGCTTTGATTTGATTGATTACAGCTTCGAGCTAGGATTTCTCTTCTATATAAAAAAGGATGACACCCCATCCGTGAGAGCCCAACACCGATCAGATAGTTAGATGAGAGGACGTAGATTAAACTTTAATCACAAACTGGCCGATAGAGAGTGGGGCCCTGACCCTGATACTTGCAGAACCCTATGCATTTTAGCATAGTAATTTCTATCGCAGTTGCCAGAATTCGAACCCGAGATTTACCCTTTGTGCCACCCCCTATCTACCAGTGGAGCTATGCCCACTCGTCAGATTTCTCTTTTATTTATGAACCAAATGAGTGTCTTCTTAGTTGCTTCGTTTGCACACTTGTAACTTGTAAGGGTAATGGATGATATCAAGACATGAAAGTTACGTTTGGTTGGGTGCGTGAAGTTTGAGTTTACATTGGCGTAAAGAATACATAACCAAAGTCCAAACTCCAAGATACTTGTAAAAAATTAAACATCATCAATGACTTTAATTTATATTTCACATGCATGCCAATTTATCTGCTGAATCTGCGATCAAAACTAGATCTCAATGGCAGAAAAGAATTTTGATAAATAGAAAAAGAAAGATTATTCTAAAACATCTGTTAATATCATGAATCTTGAAGAACTCCCTCTCTGCATGGTATGGTAACCTCATAATAATCAGTGAAAGCTTGCATTAAAAGGGGTTGACCATTCACTTTCCCAGCCCTGCACTTGCTGCAATTACAATATAAATATATTATTCTCCATGATAAATTCTTATGACACAAATAATTAATATGAACAAGTTCCACTAATATTACTCCTGAAAAGTGATGAAAAAAACATGACTTGGTAACCTTTGATAATTATAGTGAGTATGCTATAATTATAGTGAGTATGATGTAAACTTTGAACATAATTATAGTCACTCAAAGTTACTAGATCACATTTTTATCCTTTAATGACTTTTTATTAGTAATAGTTTAATAAAGAATTGGAATTTACCGAAAAATAAGGCGACTCGAGGTACAACTCAGGGATGGATAGAGAGGAATTATTATGATTATTGTTATTGTGGTGTTCTTTCCTTTGGGGCATTATCGTGTGTACGTCTTCTGATACAGACACATCACTTTCTGTACTTCCTCCTCGGCTGGTGGCTGTCGCTAATAATTGTTGTTGCCATTGATGGTGAAGAAACGCTGCATTTACTCCTTCTCCTTGCCCACCCGAATATCCTCCCATGTATGCCGCCACCTAAAATTATTATAAGAATATCATTCAACACGAAAAGTCAATATGCCGAACCTTTAATTTTCGGAACGAAGGTAGTATGTGTATTAAAAGATAATGTACGTTCCGTTTTAGAAAATTTACATTCCGTTTTAGAAAATCTATCTTTTGTATAAAAAGATACGTTTCTGTTTCATATTCCCCTATGTTTCTCACGTTTGCCTACAACATAGCTGAAGCTAGGCTCAATAGCATGCATATATATATATATATATATGCATATACAGATACACTCCCTACAATATAATAGGAATCAGTCCTCTAATTTCATACCTCTTTTGGGAATAAGTGATCATTGCCGTATTCTAGCCTCGGGTTCAAAACAGCTAGTTTCATCGACAAGAACTGTGTTTCACAAATCACAATGGGAAAAAAATGTTAATAGAATACTAGAGAATTGAATTCTTTAATTTTGATACATTTTGTGTCTACATTTTTGTGTGCCATAAATGTTTAAATGTATCATACTTCATATATATATCAATAGTTATTACTCCCTCCGTTCTTTTTTAGTTGCAACATTCCTTTTTTCATGTTTACCAACGCACAACTTTGATCATTATTATATTTAATTCTCTATTAGTAAAAAAAATTTAAAAATCAGATTATAAAACTTTATAATGAGAAAAATTTAACAATATTTTTCAAAAATAATAATTTCAAAAATCAATAAGTAAAATATAGTCAAAGTATAGTACGTGCATAATGTATAAGTTCCAATGTTGCAACTAATAAGATATGACGATAGTATTACTTACTTCGACTTGTTTTTGTAGCGATTGAACGTAATTAATGATTTCATCCAGCATTCCTGCTTTCCCAACAACTTTGTTGCACCCCGGAACTAAATCTTGCAAACACTTCATTTTCTTGCCGATTTTCTCCCTCCTTGCCTGCACCATTATTGTATTGATCCAATAAATGAGTAATATACTTTGCTAATTAACCATTTCATTTTGGGAAATTACCCAAAATAGGAATAAATGAGTTTTGAAATTCCAAAATATGAGTACTATGTTTTTCTTCTCAAAATAGGAATTGTTACTACCATGTATGAAAAATACTGCTATAATTGAAAAATACTGTCATTAATTATAATTAATATTGTCATGTTAAATGCACTTTACTGAAACTATTTGGCAGTCACGCCTACATTATGGCAGTAAATACTGTCATGTTAATCATATTTCGGGATAAAAACATAGTAGTCCTACTTTGGAATTCCAAACTCTATTTACTCATATTTTGGGAAATCTCCCTTTCAGTTTTACACATTTGCCAATCCACTAGCTAACTATATATATATTATGGGTATTTATTGTTTTTGAAAAGAACTATTACGGGTATTTAGTTATGTATTATAGTATGATGTGTTAAACAACCAATATATAAATGAAATATGGTCACAAAATATTGCAATTTATAAATATCATAGTTATTTTTCCTAAATTGTTACTAAAAAAATGATTAAAATTACTGAAAGTACAACACCATAGTTAGTGAAGTGTAAATTGAACACAATTGTATACTCCATCAAAATTACTAACATAGTTAGCTCAAACAATACATCATGTTTTTATCTGTGATCTTAAATTTAGTTCATTATTTCAAAATTTCAATATCATATCTATATAAAACACTCCCCTCGGTCCCAAATTGAATTGCAAAAATTGAATTTTTGGGTCAAATAGACTCATTTTATTCACTTAATTAAGATGCCAATTCTTAATTAAATTTTAATTTAGATTTTTCAACTTTATAGATATTTTAATTTAGTTTCTGAATATGTAAATTTAATTATTAAAATTGAATTAATTATCAATAGAAGCGTTTTAACTTTAACATCGATTGACAAAAATTGTTGATTTTGCAAAACAATTTTGGAGGAAGCAGTAGTTATTATGTTAGTATAGTGTAAAAAGTTCAAAGTTTCTAATATAGTCACTCCATACGGAATACTAAATAACATTATTCAGAATCATCTACTTAGTACTGCGTATTAATGTACAGGCCGTTTGGTAACACTTTTTCGGCTTATCAGACTTATCAACCAACTTTTTCATCAAACACGTAATTTTTCTTTCACGCGCTGAATTGTTTAATACAGAGTAATAAGAAAAAGTAAGGTTGAAGTTATTTTTCTGGCTGTATTGGCTGAAGTTACCGTATATGACCATTTTAACTATTTTTACATATAATTTTTTCTTTATTTTATTAATAAAATGTATTTTAAAAATAATTGTTTTAAATCAGCAAAATCAACCAATGCAACCACTTCAACCAGAATTTCATAAATTTCATCAAAATAAATCGGATTAGCCGATTTTCGTGATAACAAACGCCATCTAAACGAGAATGGGCTTTTGTGGCATCTACTTCAGTATGGGATAGTTTAGTCCCTTGGCAAAGAAGGTTGACTTCCAAAATCATGTCTTTATAAATCCTGTATAAAATTGTGGTAACTATTTGGAGATAATTACAGTTTTACTTCGTATTAATTAGAGTATTTGGATAATTGGATATAGTGCTTACTCTTTCTGCTAAGCTATGGCTGTCGGTAGCTTGGCCACGGCGAGCCCTAACATGAATGTAATTACTGGACTTCTGAACGGCGTCGTTCTCGTTAGAGGCTTTCTTGTTCTGTTTAGAAGCAGAGTTCCCGGAAGTCTCCCTTTCCGATTTCACTGTGATTTCCGACTGAGCCTCGCCGGTTTCTGCTTCCCACTTCTTGTCTTCCAAGCATTGCTGTCATCAAGAACGACCAAATTTAGATTACGATATAAAATTTATTTAATTGTAAAAAAAATCGAGTTCCACATAAATCCAAACCTCTGATTTCCTCTTCCTCGTCGATCTCCCGCCGAGAGTGGTGGTGTTCCGGGCATTTAACTTTAACGTCGTCGGTGCCGCCACAGCCGTCACAGAAGAATTGGAACGCGACAAAACATTGGCGGATTCCTTCCCGGAGTTATCGTTCGGGGTCCAGAGCGACGCTAAGTTGCCGTCAAACACGCCGGAAAACGAATTCCCGGCGTCGTCGGTGGCGTGAATCGGCTGCTGGTAGAAGCGGTGGAAGACGGCAGCCTGCCTGTCAAGAACGGTCATGTCGCCGGAGATGGAAACGAAGTCACTCTCAGCAGAGGATTGCATGGTTGCGAAATGTAAACTACTAATCCCGGAGAAGCGCAATTTTCCGGTGATGGAGGAAAACCCTGTATGGAAGTAAGAGGAATAGATTTAATTGCAGGTGATTTATAGAGAGGAATTGGAAGGAAGAAAATGGGATTTGATTGGAGGGGAGGTAAAGACAGCTGGAGGGAGGAGTGGACCATGATGGCTCCCGTTCCCACTACTCCTCCGGTACAGAGTCCATGTGAGAATGTCTGTTCGGACGGTGAACGGGAAATCAAGAACGGGGTTGTTTTAAGGATACGAAATGTCTGACGCCCGTACCTTCTTCGAACCCATCACCACTACTTCAATGTTGGAAACGCATTATTCAATTCCACTCAGGTTTACACAAATTCAGTGTTCCTCGCCATACTTTTTACCCACCCATAAGGCCATATTTAACTCCCTTTACATTCGGAAAGAAGATAAAAAAAAGTGAAAATTCCAATAAGGCACTGATAGATACAGGATTTCAAGTAAAGAAGGGTGAAAATTTTCGTTCATGCAAGAGGTGAAATTTTTTTCAAATTTTTTTACTACTGCAGTGGGCGAAATTTTTTCAGACTGCGGCTATTTTTATTAAAAAAAATTCATTAATTCATTTAAATCTATATATTACATTCTATGTTTAGATAATGATAAAATAACTGTAATTTTGTAATTGAAGTGTTCTAGAAAAAAGTATTGATACATTGAAGTGTAAAGAATGACAAATCAAAGGGGAGGGTTCTAATGAGAATCACCGCCCGAACATTCCCCGTCCGAACACCGTCCGAACAACGTCGTTCGGGGCGTGTTTCCGGTGAAATTTTTTGATGAAATTTTTATGTTATGTTCTTCATCAAGTCTAGTTTCTCCATACCAAATTTGACTTCAAAATTCGATCGGGAAGCCTTCAAATGAATTTTTGAATTTGACTGCGTCAAATTATATATAGAAAAACGCAGTAAACTTCAAAAAATCATTTGTAATTGGGACATTCACCTCCGGTCCTGCTAAAAAAACTTAAAAGTATTTGACCTCAAAGTCAAATACTTTTTTCAATAAAGTATTTGACCTTAAACTTTTTTCAATTACAAAAACATTATGAATGATCTTTATACGAAGTACTTGTTATTTTTCACCTCAAACATTCACCTCAAAGTGCATTACTTTTCGAGAAAAATTATTGCATTCAAATACTACAAATGTCCCAATAGAAAAATGATATATAATAAGGTTTTGGGTTACTCCTTCAGTCCTCCTATTATGTTGACCTTTTAGGATGGAACTCATGGTCTTAACATGATATTAGAGCCAACTTTGGGTAGTTTGTTAAAGGTCTGTTTGGCCCATTTATACACCCCAATATTGTCCAGCCCGGTTCGTACTGAGGGGACGCGTTAAAGTATTTGCCCCACACCGAAAAAGATTTAAAACAATAAAACACTAAATTTTAGAAGGAGTAGTCCAAAGGCTGATACCATATCAAGACTCGTGATTCTACCCTAAAAGGTCAACCTGAGAGCTAGAAGGCGTAGACCAAAACCTAATATAGTGCTTTATTGTTTTAAACTTTTTCCAGTGTGGGTCAAATACTTTAACATTTACCAAATACATAAGTTTTGAATCGTTTTATTTCGCACGATAAATAATGTAACTATCAAAATAAGTAAGATTGAAGTTATTTATTTTGAATAAGTTGGCTAAATTTGATGAAAATGACTATTTTAGTTGTTGGGTGACGTGCACTTGTCGTTAGGTGCACTCAAAATAATTAATCAATACAACACTAATACGTAGTATAGTGTAGTAAGGTTCGTATCCACAGGGAAAGGAATACTTTTCTTTTAAATAAATAGTAACAAAAGGGGGGTTTAGATTTGTTTGCTTTAAAAACACTAAGATAAACAACCTATATGGGTTTAATTCAATGAGATGGGGACTTGGTTTCGCTTTTATCCACTTAATGAAATGTTCGTCGATCCCGGTTATATCTTTAACTATCTTCCTCTCGAATACTCAATCGAGGAGTATATCCAGTTCATCGAGGGTAGTTATTAATAACGAGATGCGTTCATTAATAAAACTTACTATCGAGTCAATATAGAACAAGCGCCGTATATTAACTTGATAGTAGCAATAAACTTATGATGAAAACGATTGAGATTGATAACCTCAACACAAGCGGTTTATTGGTTTAATCAATATAATTAATTCCCCTTGGCATATTAACCATGAGATGCATGCATTAATATTCCAAGTTTACTACCTTTGAAAGAACCGGATTAATAACAAGCGTATTAACCGATTGATTCTAGTAATAATTAATATGAGAAACAATACTAGTTGATACTTTAAGTAATGTTTATGACTTTATGATATTAACATGAAATATGAATAGGAATTAATTAATACTCAAGGAAGAATATTAAAATATATGAATCCTACTATGATTAATATCAAGATGTTAACTAATTGTCATCTTAGTAACACTCCCCAATATTATCATAGAGGAAGAAATAGCTATTACTATAACCAATGTCAAGATGTTAACTAATTGTCATCTTAGTAACACTCCCCAACTTTGATATAGAGATAGTATTTTGAAAGAAAGAATTAATATTCAAGGAAGAAGATTAAAGAAAATAACTCACAACTTACAAATTCATTAAGCTTCAAAGTAGCAAAACCAAGATGGAAGAGTTTAGCTCCTCATTTGGAGACTAAACATGATGAAAAATATAAAGAAAGAGCTATTCTATACTGAGCTTAGATGTACAAAGGAATTTGATATCAAATGGGAAGGAAAAGAGGTGTATTTATAGGTGTTTGGAGGTAGCAGGGTCATTTACCCGACCGGGTTTTACAGAAACCCGATCGGGTTTCTTGAGTAATTGCCCGGAATGTTCATTAGTCACATCTACCCGATCGGGTTTTTGATTTACCCGATCGGGTAAAAGACAAATCTTTGCCAAATCTTCGCTCTGCATGTTAAATTGCCTCCAAATCAAATTTGATCTTCGGGTCAAGTCAAACCCGGTCGGGTTTTTGGAAAACCCGGTCGGGTTTTTTGACTATTTTCCCAAATTTTCACTTTTTGTTGTTCCCTTGCACTTTCCTTGAACCTTCCAGGATCCTTTTGACGATCTTTACCTAGTTTAAGCTCAGAAAGTCCCTAATCTAAACAAATTACAACTATTTTACAAACTAAACTATTACACCAAAAGTGTGTAATATCCAAAGTAAAAGTCAATCAAAACTAATTAAAAATACAAAAATAAACATGGAAATTACATGAATGTCATTGAGATATTGGATCCAGGCCTATTATTATAACAAAAGGCCAATACTATTGCCCAAACCATATTAAGCTCGATCAATGAGACCTATTTCGACCCCTTCAGACCATTAGGCCGGGTAGCAATGCGCCCCTCCCCTTTTCCTATTTATAGAATGATTTCTCTCCATGTATGGGGATCCTCTCTTAAATCCCCCCGTATTCTTCTTCTCCACTTTAGTTTAGAGTAGCCTTTACACTCCATTAATGGCTTTCAAGAACTCTAACACGTCAAATATTGTAAACTGGGTGAAGAAATATTAATAGAAAGAGACTAATTTGGACATTAACCCGAAAAATCTGTGCATTTTTATCCTTTTGGATTTCCATGTTAAAATCAAATGTTCATATCATTATTGTTTCATATACAAACAAACACCGACTCAATTGTACGTTTAAGATGGCCGAAATAGGGAGAAGTTGGATGCAAAGTTTAGCCTCACCTAGCTTCTCCAATTAAGCTCTCTCTCTTGGGATGCATGTTATTGAGGCTAAGTTTATGGCGCTGATTACGCTCAGTCTTCTAGAAGTCAAACACGACCTTTCCCATTGAAAAAACGTGTCATATTCCTACAGCATATAATATAGTATGGGAAAATAATCAAGAAACTTTGGTTGGGGTCATTTGCCTGGACTTGGCAATTATTTGAAGTGTGTACCATGGTTAACAAATTGGAAAAGAAAAGTGGTTAAGAGAAAGTTCACTAAGAGCTTAATTATGGAACTAGACAAATGACCCGTGCGATGTACGGGATATATCTAGAGTACGTAGGATAGTAACTTAACGATTTTTTCCCTTCCCATAATAGTAATCATTCGGCCACTTTATATCTTATGTAGATGAAAATAGAGATACATTTACAAAGTATTATTAATTCTATACTTCGTATAAGCGTTAATTTTTACTAAACATTATACTCATGTTTTAATAAAAGTATTTGCTCACATGCTAGTATTGTTCTTTTTGTATTTCGGAGCTTCCTTAGGATGTTTTTATATGGAACGAAAAATTCTAGTCTTGTCTGGTCTGGTTATTATGATCTAATCTGGTCTAATTTGTTTGATCTAGTCTAATCTCATCTGGTCTTGTCGAGTCTTAACTGATCCCGTCTGATAGATGTTTGATCTATGTGTTTACAACTGTCGAGGTCTGATCTAATTTGGTCTATTTGAGTCTAATCTTGTCTGGTTTGTTTAAGTCTGATATGATCTGAATGTAAAATAAATTAAATTAAAAACATGCTTATTCATCCCACCGGCTATGACTTTTGGTAAAAATGAATCCCTAAAAGCATTTCAATTTACTTGTTTATTAGTAATTACCGATGCTAATTAATATCTATAATATCTATATATTTTCTCAATAAATAAGAAAAATGATAGGGTGATGTGCATGCTTTTCTCTGTATATCTTCTTTTATATCATGTACGATGAAAACAAATAGTGCCATTGATAAAAGATATAACTTTTTCTTCATTTTATTAGTGAAAAAAACTTTAAATATAATTTTTCCATAATTCAACTCACTCAGCTGTTTTGGTCAAAACTTCAACAATTTCGGCAGATTCGGCTAAATTAGCCAATTAAGTGTCATCTAATGATTCTAAATATGATACTATTGCTTAAACGGACGGTTATTACTCATTCTTAGGGGGTAAAAATATGTCAGTCTTGTATATTTTTACATTCCAAAACATATTTACTTCTATTTCAGGATTTTCGATACTTATATAATAGTGAAAACTTTGAAATTGTAGCTATTCTGACTAATTATATATGGAGTTATTTAGTATAGTTATTAAGTAATATATACTACAATAACATTGAACACTATTGGTTGTTACATTTATTTACATCTTTAATGTAAACACCATATTTTCGCCAACTTTGAATACCATTTGAATATGTGTTTTTAGTCTTATATATCAGTCTTATCAATCAATCTTTTGACCAAACATGCATGTAATTTTTGGTTTTGCGCGTTGAATTATTTAATATTTAAAATAAAAATGAACACAATACATGTTTGTCTTACCATATTTTCATTCTTTCACTTCTTTCAGCATTATGTAACTTTCGGTTT